ATTAAAAAAAAAAGGTTATAATTACAAGTACAATCACAATGCAACATAGTCCTGTCAAATGGAGCCATATCGTTATTAAAGATGGGGAGAAATATCTTATCAAAAAAATGCACACAACAAAAAGATGCACACAACAATAAAAGCAAAATGTTAAAAATAGCATCTTTACTTCTCTTATTATAAAATAAAAGGAAAAATAGTAAAGTAACAAAGTTTTAGAAGTGAGAACGTCTAATTTCATTGTGTCTTTCATAACAAGCTTAGATGGGTTAAGGCAAATGTGGTGTTATATTGACCATTGAATAAAATTAAATAAAAGTATAAATAATCCCTTAATAGAGTTATAAATAATACCTTAATAGAATCATGAATGATACTTAAGTGAGATTTTGAATAATTTTTAGTGAAAATGAGTTATAACATTAAAAAAAATAAAAATAAATATAAGGTGAAGGTGAAACATTCACTAATAAAAAATTTACAATATCTTTTTTTTTTCCTTTGTTTTTTGAGCATCTTTTTTTTACCCTCTAGATCGAAAAAAAAAAAAAAAAAAAGGAAGAAGAAGGAGAAGAAGAAAACTGCCCACATTCAGGGTTCTAATTTCCACCATGCAATTGATGAGATTGGACAGTCATACATAGATCATGCTTCATTTAATTAAAGGATATATTTGACCTTTTACTGTCAATTTTTAATTATTTTATCTCACATTTGGTTTTAAAAAAACGAAAGGAAAGGGAAGGGAGACAAAATCTTTCTATTTCCCTTCCCTTCCCTTCCCTTCCCTTCCCTCTCATTTCTTTGTCTAGTTATGTTAGGTTGTGTTAAAATTATAAAAGAAAATAAAGAAAAACTGCACGTTTACAAATATATATATGAGAGTTTACATCATAGACAAAGTATTCCAAGTAAACAAGATTTGGGGCATTAATCACGATCTCAAAACTTCCAACCCACCCTTTAAAACTCATGCAATCTAAGGCAAGACTCTTAAATGTAAGATGATAAACAATAAAATTTGCAGTTTTCATCTTTAAACTTGTGGTCCAAATGTTCAAGAACTGGACAGTCACAAAGCAGGCCTTTTAGCAAAATCATAATTGGAAAAAGGAGTGGCACTATCAGTATGAAGCTCCTTAAGGCTTGGGAGACAAACTTTGGCATGGACTTCAAAAACAGAATCAGAATAAAAAAAATTACACATATACAAATGTATGAGAGTTTACATCACGTACAAAGTATTCCAAGTAGCCAAGACTTGGGGCATTAATCACGATCTCAAAACTTCCAGACCACCCTTCAAAGCCTATGCAATCTAAGGCAAGACTCTTAAGTGTAGGATGAGAAACAATGAATTTGAAATTCTCATCTTCAAACTTGTAGTCCAAATCTTCAAGAACTGGACAGTTACAAAGCAGCCTTTTAGTAGAATAATCATTGGAAAAAGGAATGGTACTATCAAGATGAAATTCCTTAAGGCTTGGGAGACAAATTTTGGTAGGGACTTCAAAAACAGAATCAGATTGCACAATCAACTTTAGAATCACCAATGTCTTGCCGTATAGGGCAAAATCCCTATACGGTAAGACTTTTATGAGTGCTTTTAGCTCCTTTTTTTTTCTAATAGGAATGAATGCGTTGAGGTCTTCTAGGTGGTATATTGGGGGAAGTCTTCATGGGTTGACAACTGAAACATCAAGGGCTATGTCTTGTTAAGGATTTTTAATAATGAAAGCTTTGTTCAAAATCTAAGAGAATTATGGAAATTAGGAGAAGAAAGAAACTACATGGTAAGTCGAAACAATTGGAAAAGAAGAAAGGATTTTGGATGCAGAAGAGAAGACTGTGAAGGGACTGTTAGGAATGAATTGACATTATATAGGGAAGGAGAGGATGACAGCTGGGGATAGGAGGCGTGAAATGAGGAAGGACTGGGGAGGGGAAGCGAACGAATGATTTACTGAGATTTAGATCTGATGGTCTAAACTCTAAAGTATTTTGTTTGATTAAATCCAATGGATGTAATAAAATCTAAGTATATTAAATTATTAAATTATATTCTAAATTTAAGAAGTCAAAAAGGTTTAGCCCAAATATAGAAACATAATGACCGCCTGAAAAAACGCAAAGATTTAAAAAGTGAACTGGTCTGTCGTATACTCGTATTAGACCTACTCATGCAATTACCGATTTTATTGGCAAAGTCTACTAATAACCTTCAAAAAAATTCGGAAAAAAGTTTGAAAGAGTAAAAATTACAATGTCTTATTAATTTAAATTTTCATATTTTTAATAAAAGTATTAAAATATTTTTAATAAAATTTTTTTATATATTGATTTATTAAGAACATATATATTTTTTATATTAATTTCCCGATATCCAGTAACCACATTAGGTGTCAATTATTTGGAATCAAGTTGTGTATTGAGTCTCGATTAATTCGGAATCGAGTTGTGTCGAACCTCATTAAAGAAAAAATTCTCCCAGCATCTATTTCTCTATTCATAAGACTTAAATTCGAAACCTTATTTAAGAGGAACCAAACTCCTTCCACTCAGATCAATAAGTCGTTAGTTTTATTAGGAACATATAATTATCATTATTATTTTTGATAATTTAATTACAAAACATTTTAATTTTCTTCAATGGAAAAAAAATATCATAATAA